TATCAGTTGAGTGCCGTACCAGCCTCCACAAGGGAGGTATGCTCCACAAGGGAGAAACAGAAAATAACAATAATGTCCTCCGACTTAAGGGAGGCATTCAAGTTATAATCACGGTGTCGTGGGGGACCTTGCAAACCCTCACGTTCCGATGATTGCGCGCAAGTGGTACGCGAGCACTCGGGCCCATCAGTAAGAAAGATAAGATAAGATAATAAGATTATGATAAGACATCATAATTAAGCATAATCAGCTCATGCATATTTATTCATGTGTACTTACAGTTATTTTGTGAGATATAGTTCCTACTTGCTGAGCGAAAGCTCAATCAGATATGTTCATGCTGTAGGTAAGAAACCTATCAGCAATTCTTGAAGGGCAATGGCAAGCGGCGGACGAATGGTGGAGATGGGAATGGATACCGCTCACGCAGTTATCTTCCGCAGTAAGTTTAAGAAAAATCATGTATATGTATATATGATTTAAAGGTTTCAAGCATGTATGTTTAAAAAGTATAGGTACATATGTATGTTAAGGAAACCGAGGTTGTAGCTAACAACCCTCATTTTGAGTATTTAAGTTTTAGAACGTTGCAACAGAGCATGCAACAAATAAACAAATTTTAAACATGACGATTTAAACGATTGATTTTAAAAGGGCTTTAAGATGTACTTGAATTTAAGATTTCTCACGAAATCCGTTTTAAAGTCAAAATTAAATGGCCTGATTGAATTGGCTAGTTTTAGAAAGGCTTTTAAAGAGTATTTGAAATAGGAGTTCAAATGCTGCTCTGTTTGAAAGATATTTTTAGAACGTTTTATCTTAACTGAAATTAAGAAAAGCTTTAAGAAATTTAGTGATTCACTTATTTGAAATTATTGTTACAAATTATGAAAGTATTCTTTCTTATATTAAAAAAAAAAATGTTCCGCAAATTTTAAGAAACCCCAGTAAGTACAAGTTAAAGTTTAAGTTACAGTGGCGGCCTCATAGGAGGGGCATCACAAACAAAAACCTCAAAAATCAACTAGATATTAAGTGTAAAATGATACTAAATGAGCAAGTAAAACTCACTCATCAACCGGCGACTGAAGACTTGCTGCCGACGACATCTATCAAATTATCGGCAATAACTATCAAATTACTTATTCCAAAGGGAAAAAATTCAATAGGCCAACATTGAGACCCAAAAATCCTTAATAGTACCATTTTAATGGGTATTTGTCTAAATTACCCGGAAAAAACCTAGAGCATCTTAGTTTAATTTCTACAAATGTGTGTGTTTTTTTTTTTTTTTCATATTAAGCTCTAGGAAATATCAAACTTAAAATTTACTGGAGAAATTATTGTCGTAATGTTGTCCATAACTTACTAATATTATTATTTTACTAATATGTCAATGAAATAGATATTAGAGTATTTGGTTTGCAAACTTGTATAGTTTTTGTTTTCCGATAAGTTTATTGTTGTCATCTGCTTATTACTATTCTTCCCTTTTGAGTTCCAAGTAAAACATTCTTATCTGCTTATTATTGATGCTTCTGTTTTGAGTTCCAAGTACATCAGTACCAGATACAAAAGCCTCAGCTTTGACTTGGCATCGCCAAGACTAAGTCTTCCATCCGTGCTATATTCCATACGAACAGGTCATGGTATTGAATATTCCAAACCAAAATGTCATGGTATAAGTTCTTTTCGATCAAACGTCGACCAACTTGCACCCATTTGAATAAGAAAATTGCTTGAGATATCAGTGGTGTCCAACACTATAATTTATAAAAAGTGACTACGGCGTGAGACTCACTTTTTATTAGTGAATGACTTTGGATATCGCCGGTCCTTGTAACGTTATTCTTTGGACGAGTTGCACTGTCATGAAAAGAACAAGTTGATATTCCATAACTACTAAATACCAACAACCATATATATTGCCTTATCTAAAGTCAAGATGAGTTTTGCAAGTCCCACTCACTTCTAAGTCTTTTATTTAACCACAGAAAACAAATTGGCATTGGCCCATGGATGATTCTTTATCGTTACTCTTAGTCAATACGACTTTTGCTAGTCCCTCGCTGCATTAAATCACAAAAATATATTGACTCTTTTTTCCTCCTTTTTCTTTAATATTGCAAGATCTCCCACTATTAGTTGAACAAACAAACAAATTGAAATTCGCCCATGTATGACTTCCAATTGTCCCTCTAAAGATGTCAAAGATCGTTATTGTCAGTCACTGTATTTGGCCACACAACACATCAATGTTGGCTTAGAGTATGTTTGGTAGGGGGGAGAGAGGTCCAATCTCTTCGTGACATTAGAGTATGTCAAACTGTTGCAATGTAACACAAGTTAATAACTGCGCGTTTAAATTAATTGGTGACATAAAAGCCTCACATTTTGTTTCATGGTTTGAGAAATTACCTCTGAAATTAGATCTACTATAAAATTTAAACCTAAATACCAAAAGGTCTATAAATAGAACTGCAACACCAACGTAGAGGGCAACAAATTACCTAGCAGAAAAAAAATCATTCTTAAAACACCCTTTCATCAAAACTTCACAAGAGTACTTGGACGGCTTTCAAATCCAAGTAATATTTGTCAATTGCCGTGGATCTGGTCTGCTCATTGCAATGATGAGTAGATTAATTGTAGTGTTTCACTTCTTTCAGTTTGCATGATCAGTTCCCATGGATCCAACACTTCATCATCATCATCAACAGGAGATGGAGAGCCAAAGATCAGATGCATAGAAGCGGAGAGACAAGCACTCCTTAAAATTAAACGTGATCTTCAAGGAGTATCCAACAACATTGGTGATCCTCTTTCTTCTTGGGGGAATGAAGAGGAGAAAAGAGACTGCTGCAAGTGGCTCGGGATTCAGTGTTCCAGCAAGTCCGGTAATGTGATCAGCCTCGATCTTTCTCCGTCGACTTTTGCCTCGATTATTGCAATTACCTCGAGTTATGAAACCTTAAGAGGTAAGATCAGTCCTTCATTGTTTGAGTTGCGATACCTGACTTATTTGGACCTTGGTTTCATCGATTTCAATGAAAGCCACATCCCAAGTTCTATAAGTAGTCTTAGCCGATTAAGATACCTCAATCTGTCTAACGCTTTCTTGAGTGGAGAAATTCCTCGTCAGTTTTCAAATCTTTCAAGCTTGGAGGTTCTTGATCTTGGCTCTACAGGTTTAGTTCCAACCAATATCCTGGAATGTGCTTCTAATCTGTCTTCTTTAAGAACCCTTGTCCTTACTGATACCAACTTAGGCAAAGCAAGTGATTGGGTGCAGGGAGTTAACCAACTTTCTAGCCTAACAAACTTGCAGTTAAGCTTTTCTTATCTTCCAAATATTAGTAACAATCCTTCCTCTCTCTCCTTTGTCAATTCTTCGACAACTCTTTCCTTCCTTGATCTTAGGAGAAATGATCTTTCTAATTCTATATACCCATGGTTGTTGAACCTTAATAGCCTTGTTTATCTCGATCTCTCACTAAACCAGTTAGAAGGTTCTATTCCAGAAGCTTTTGGCAAGATGGCAGGCCTGAAAAACCTCGATCTCAGTTACAATTGCTTAAGTGGCTCTATCCCAGAAATTTTTGAGAACAAGAGTGGTCTTGAGTACCTTGATCTTGGTTTTAATATGCTGCAAGGTCAAATCCCAACACCCATTTGGAACCAGAGTAAACTACGTTCATTGATTATGGGTTCAAATAATTTTAGTGGCCATCTCCCTCAAACTGCTTTCCAACAATTGAAACAACTAGAAATTTTGGATATTTCTAGAAACTCTATGGGAGGTGTCATTTCTGAAGCCAGATTTCAAATCTTTCTCAGTTACATTATTTGGATCTGTCTTTTAACTCGTTGACTTTGGACATCCATTCTGATTGGGTTCCTCCATTTCAGTTGCATTACATACAGCTTGCGTCTTGCAAGTTGGGCCACCGGTTCCCCAGATGGCTTCGAACTCAAAAGAACTATTACTTTCTTGATATTTCCAGCTCGGAGATTTCGGATACCATTCCCGATTGGGTATGGTATCCGTCTACTCGTGAGGAGGAGTCGATATATTTGAATCTCTGGAGCAATAAAATCAAGGGAGAATCGGAGATGTATCACCAGATTTTCAAGCAAATATTTGGTATACTGTTGATCTGAGTTCAAATGAATTAGAAGGTCCAGTACCTTCTTTTTTGTTCAAAGCCACTACACTACTAGATCTTCAACGAAATAGATTTTCAAATCTAAATATCCTATGTAATGTCACAGGAGATGGAGCCTTAAACTTTCTCGATGTTTCGTATAATAAATTATCAGGGCAACTTCCTGATTGTTGGTCGCATTTTAAAGAATTACAGGTTCTTGATTTGAGAGATAACAATTTATCAGGAAAAATTCCAAGCTCCATTGGCTCTTTAACTGCCATCGACAGATTGATATTAGCTAACAATAGTTTTATCGGGGAGATACCTTCAACCTTGAAAAATTGCAGAGAGTTGTTAATTATCGACTTTGGAGAGAACAAGTTATCAGGGCCAGTTCCGACATGGATGGGGGAAAATATGCCTTCTCTTGTTATTTTCAGCCTGCGATCCAATTATTTTGATGGGAGCATACCTTCCTATCTATGTCATCTAAAACATCTTCAACTGCTGGACTTATCTTTAAATGACATCTCAGGAAGGATGCCGGCGTGTTTTCATAATTTTACAGCGATGAAAGTAAATGAAATCAACGACTTGAATATGAAAAACCCCATTCTTATAAGTGGTTTTAAATATGTTGAGCGCCTATATAGAGGAGAAGTACAAGTCGCATGGAAGGGAGACTTGAAGATATTGCAAAGTACTATTTTCCTTGTGAAAAGCATTGATCTGTCAAGCAACAAGTTGATTGGGGAAATTCCAAGAGAGATAACTCAGCTTTCTGGATTAGTTTCGCTGAACTTGTCAAGAAACAGTTTAAGTGGACAAATCCCTTCGGAGATTGGTCAGTTGACATCTTTGGATGCTCTTGATTTATCATGGAACCACCTTGTTGGTCAAATTCCGCCAAGTCTCACTCATATAGATCGCCTAAATGCATTGGACTTGTCAAACAACAATTTGAATGGAAAGATTCCAACAAGCACTCAACTCCAGAGCTTTCCCTCTGCATACACGGGGAATGTCGGGCTGTGCAGAGACCCACTTCCGAAGAAATGTCCAGATGAAGAACATGAAAGTACCTTTTCTAGAGCTTTTGTTGAAGAAGTTCATGATGAGCTTTTGGACGGGGGATTTTACATTAGTATCGCACTTGGATTCGTAGTTGGATTTTGGGGAGTTTGTGGTGCATTAATCTTCAACAAGTCTTTTAGATATGCATATTTCGAGCTATTAAATGATGTTGGAGATTGCATTTGCGTAAAGGCAGTAATGCACAAGGCCAAACTACTGAGAATTATTAAAAGCTAAGAGGTGAGTACTCTCGCAGAAGTTTGAACAAAGTTGTTTACACTTTACATATACATTGTTACTATATACTAATTTGATTTTGTGTTGCATTTTCCGCATTTATTCGTGATTTGTACCATGACACGGCTCAAAAGCGCCATTGCTTCCGTTGAAGAGAAGGGTGCAAGTTATGTTGGAGACAGTCTCATGTATGCTAGAGCTAAAGAGTGTGATTGTTGCAGTTATAATTTTTCTCTAAGGCCATGTTTGGTAGTTTGTATTGTATTATAACATTGTATTATATTGTATAAGGTGTATTGTCTTATATTAAAAAAGTTTATAACCTAATGCAATATTAAGTGCAATTGTACATTATATTGCATTGTATAATTTTTTATTTTGAACCTTTGTCCTGACTCCGACACCAATCTAGACTCCCGAACTTTTTGTTAAGTTTTTTAAAAATTAAGTCAAAATATAATCGTTTGAAAAAATAAGGGATAAAAACTTAACATTAAAAAAATTGAGGGAATAAAATGGTAATTTTAAAGAAATTAAGAGATAAAAATATAATTGTAAAAATAGAGGGGGTCAAAATATAATATTATAATGATCAAAGGTCAAAATATAACTTATAAAAATTAAAGGGTCAAAAATGCAATCATTAGATAATTTAAAATTTCGTTGTGACCCCTTAAATTTTAGAAAATAATAGGTTATATCCCGATTACCTGTTGGTCTGACCCCGATCCCGAATCGGGTCCAACCCCAACATGAACATAGGCCCGATGTAAAGTAATACAATGCAAATATGCAATACACCAAAAATGAACAACATTCTATAATAAAACCTGTATCTCAATTTACGGACCTGGTATTTTCTTCTAACAAATGAATTGTAGTGTTATTTGTGATTCTACCTGCTATTTTCAAGTTGCATTATAATGGTAACCTTTTCAAATTTATTAGATTGAGCAGTGTAGTATGTTGGACCAAAATTGCGTTTTCCCATTCAAAAAGCATCGTTTTTTTTTTTTGTTTTGAAAGTAAGTAATCGGTTTTCAAATAGTAGACACGGAAACAGTAGAACGAGAAAAGCATTATTGTTTAGCAAACAGGATCAGTACATTGTTTCATTATTTTTTTGTATGAAATGCTATAAGAGCCTCCTTTGAGGGAGAGGAAAAAATAAATAAATAAATAAATTTGCCAAGAAGCATACCTATGATAAGAAATCCTGACTAAGACCACGAATGACAACTAATGAACTATATCAGGTGTTGTAAAAATGACACACAACTGTAAAACAGAGCAATAATTTGTGTCACACTGCTGATTATTTTTCTTTTGGGTGAGGACATAGAAATTCCCATCTTGGATCAATTGGATCAATGACTTCAATTGGAGTACATAATCATAAATTGGTATTGTTCAAAATTACGAAATTAAAATTCCTCTAAATAAATCAAGAACTAGACTTCAAAAGTGGTATATAGCCTAATTAACAGTAGGCCTGTAAGTCGGCCGGGTGGGTCGGTTTTGAAAAACAAATTGGACCGGCCCACGGGTCTCAGGCTGGGAATGATTTGGGCCGCAACAACTTGTAGAATTAGGATACCTGTATACCATTTGGTTATCTCAGGTCGGCCGAGTTACCTAGGGTAAACTATGAGTTTTTTTGTTAAAAAAAACCCTTTTTAACTTATTTTTGTTACTTATCTCATCTAAGACTCAATTTTTACACTCATCCTGAATAAGAATTAAGAATAAACAAGAATTATCTAAAAACTCAACCCTTTATGTTGTGTTATCATTGGAGTTGGACATTGTTTTACCTACTTTTTGAATATGTTCGGCCAGGTAAGAATACCTTGAGTTCATGGAATCCCACCCCACACCCCTACCCGCACAGTACGGGTTGGACATAATTAAAACTGAAAATTAAATAAAAAATTAGAAACCTGTGATTTTCAAGTAGGGTCGGCTCAGCCGAGTTCATCAAATTTGGGGTGATTTCTTACAACCCTAATTAACATATTTCAACAGGGACGAGAACCCTATTATATTCTCAGGTTTAGTACAAGATTTGTAATTTTTTATTCCCAAAGAGCAAAGACATGTTTGGAACCCAAATTTTTTGGTGAAAAGGAGGAATTTTGAGGGACTAAAAGCTAAAAGGTCGATCTTATTTTCCTCATGGGAGGAGAATTTTACAAGTGTTACTCATTTTGGCTTTTTCTCTCCTCGTTCTCGCCACTTTCTCTATCCTCATTCTCTCCTGTCCCTTGATCTCTCCGCTTATTCTATGGTAACTTTCTCTTTTTGTGCTCTAGCTACCAGGCGTCAGCCCCAACCCCATGCCGAACTCAATCTTGAGCACAACCCTAATGCCAACCATAACCCAGGCCCCTACCCCAACCCCCCACCCCTACCTCAATTAGTCTGAGCTTTGCAAAGTCACAATAACAAAAAGGAATCAGTGTCTTGTTTTTATCATAGAAAGGATCAGCATATTAACAAAGCATTCAAGAGTCGATAGATAAGACATACGCAAAATTAATAAAGGTATCAATCTGTCAAGAAGAAGTACTATGAGCAAGAAGTTGCTTAGCAACCAAGTTTTTGAAAACCTAAAAACTGAGCGCGGACATTTTAACAAAGTTACAAGATCTAAAGAAACTATCAATTCTACAAGAAACTTTGACGTCCTGATTGATTTTCTGTTTGTGGCTTCTTAGTTTGCATGAAAAGCACAGAAAATCTATTTAGCTGCTAGGAAGCAATAAGAAGTTACCTCCAAATATTCCAAATGATGAGAGCTCAACCATTTACAAACACACCTCTGGAATTCAAATTTTCAGAGATGCATCATTACCAACTTGCAAGATGGCATATCAGCAAAACAAGAGCGACAGTTTGGCACATTGCTAGGGCATGCTTATGTGCGACGGGGAGATACTTTCACTGCTACTAACTTGATCTGTTTCACTCTCTCATCAACCAACTTCTGGAGCTGCTCTTCCTGACTTGCTTGATTTTCACCTACCATTTGAACGTTGCAAGCTCCTTCACTAGACTTTGATCTTAACATGACAAATGACATCTCTTCGTCATATTCACTAGGCACTTGTATTACCTGCTTCGCAGAAGTACCAGAATCTTTCCCAATTATGTCTTCTTTCATACGGTTTGAAATGATTGCCACAAAATCCTCGATGTACTTATCAATGGGATCAAGGCCAAGAAAGATCAAAACCTCCCAACACTGGAGAAACTGTTTCTTATTAATTTTCAGACTATTTCGAACATCCTCAACAGCAGATGGGGGTGGCATGAGGCGAGGGATCTGGGCTTTCTTTGACACTTTTCCTTGCTTCAGATGCAAAATAGCCTCATCAACTGCTGGCTTGATTGGTTCAAAAACGAGCAAGCGTGGTATGTCAATGCAGGTGCGTACATGTTGCAAGTAATCCAATGGTTCTTCAATTGTCAGATCATGGACATCTTCAGAAATTGCAACATCATTGAGCACCTCAAGAAGGTATCTTCCATAGCCCTTGTGCTGGTAAGGTGGCAACATCAGTATCTGCCATTTACCAAAATAACTCATGAAACTTCTAAAAGATAATACAATATGCAACTAATAAGTGCTGCCATGAAAGTACAACTTTACTATACAATGACAAGAAAAGTCTGAACCTGACTGATCCGCAGACGAGAATTGTCAGGATAATGGTAAAAACGATAGATGGCTGCAAAACCAAGCAATATACTATGCACATCCCCCTGATGATCGCTTCTCTTTTGGATCAAAAGATACAGCTCCCAACTAGGATCGGTAACGTCAATTGGACTGCTACCTAATAAAATAATAATAATAATAATAATAATAATAATAATAATAATAATAATAATAATAAAAGCAGAAGTTAAAACCAAATAATTAAAGTTGCTCTGATGAAGGACTCAAAATAGTTAGTTACCATCAACAAGAAGAAGAACAAGAGGAATCAAGTGACCGTAAAGGGGCCCAGCAGCTGTTTTTCCAATCACCATACGCACAACCTGTGCAGCGGGGGAGTGCATGAGTTTTAGCACTCTATTTCAACTCACACTTCACATGGATACGGAGAGAGATGGAATGAATAATCACCACACATGAAAATAGGAACTACCAAATACATGAAAACTATCATTCTTGTTATAACATCAAAAGACAATTAAATTTCAGATACCTCCAATTTAGAAGTGGCCGCTTCTAAATGACTATCAGAACCAACAACATGCCCATTGGAGGTCTTTTGCTGCAATATCTCACCACCAGAAACAATGGATCTGAACATAGATAGTAGAAACAGAAACCAAAGAGTAATTATATAATTTAAATGGAAAAAGAAAAAAGAAAACGATTCTGTCAAACTCATAATTCTTGGGCTCCGTATGATAAAATGATGTAGCACCTGATAAAATCTCTTTGAGTCGAAAAGGTTTGAAGGAACTCTTCTTTACTCTCAACAAGGGTATCAGCAAAAATATTCTGTAGAACAGAGATAACCAATCACCAGATCCATGGACACAGAAACCTAACTTAACAGTTTAAAATGAAAATCTAATTCATACCTTAAGAGCTGTTTTCAAATCTGTGATCCCTTTGCCTCCCTAAGAACAATTACCAACAGCAATAAACGGAAAGAGCGGTCACAGAAAGCTAAAAGAGCAGAACCGTTGCTTCTAAGAAGCAGGATGAAAGTCAAAACTTACATCAGATGTGCTTTGGAATGAAATATCGGCATATGCATGGAATGATATACTGCTGACCCATATGGTAATCTGCAAACCACGTACAAAAGATACTTTAGAATCAAGAGGAGCAACATTGTGATAGTGCAATGTTTGAATTAACATATTCGAAAACCAGACTTCAATGAATATGGAAATAATCTCGGATCTAAAATGCCTAAAGTGTTACCTTCAGTCCCTGGTAACCGTGTATCTTTCCGTCTTCCTCAAAAAAGCTATTCAAGTCAGCCGGTTCAATACAAAAACTACTTGAATCACCCACTTCCTCTTTGCTAGATACTGCCAATTCCGCCAAAAAAAAAAACAAACAAATCTCAACAAATTTACAAACAAAGTAGGATGTAAGAAATTCCACAAAGTAAAAAAAAAAAAAAAAAAAATTCCAATTGCAGAAATAACTGAGGATTTTTATGTTTATCAGCTTATTTCTATTCGTCACAAAAAATGCAGAGCGCTGAACAATTCATTACACTAGTAAAACATGAAAATTAGTAGAAATAAGTTGAACATTAATAGAATTACAACTTACAAATAACATAATGAAACAAACTAATTAAAAAATCAATAAATGCGTAAATAAATCCTTCATACCCAGATAAATTTTAATGCAGTCTTTCGCCTCAACTCCAGCATCTGCCACCGAAAACACGCCAAAAAAAGAAACAAAATCCCGAAAAATTAAGCTCCTTAACAAGAATAAGACAGCAGAGACAACGGAAAAGAGGGCAAAAAACTTGTAAAACACAAGAGAAGAACTATTTTCAAGTAATTTCTGAGGAAAGGAAAAGTGGGGGAAAATGAAATGCAAAAATGGGAGCTGATTCGAGTTACAGGTATTGGAGAAGCCCACGCGGCGGCGTTTCTTTGGATCGGCGACTGGGTCGGCGGTGAGTTGCTGCTTCTGGCCCATCTTTGCAGTGCTGAAAGTTAGGGTTTTTTTGGGGGCGGGAAATGCAAGAGAGATGGGCGCGGGAAATTGTACTGTACGAAATTCGGGGGAATTAGGGCTCTCTCTCTCTCTCTATATATATACACACACACACACACACACGTATATTTGGAGAGAAGATAACTTCTCGTGCGCTGCACGTGATATTCAGAGTGGGTTGGGCTGTGTCATGTTAAGGGTTGGCAAAGTTTGGGCTGGGTTTTTCAGTTTGCTACTAATTTCCCTGTCATACTCCGTTTTGCTACTAATTTCAGTTTTGGCAAGTTTGGTTTTGTGATGAAATTTATATGTTATTTTGAGTGATTTTTCGCCTTTTTTTTTTTTTTTTTTGTGGCACGCTAATTTATCATAAGATTAGAAATGCTTTTAAAATGGCACTTTACTTTTCTCTCTCTTTTTTGGCAAAAGTCAATTCATGACGACAAATTGTGAATGCCTTTAATTTTATGGGAAAAAAGATAAATACTTTTATTTATTTTTTACATTTTAATATCTTTTAGTCAAAAAATTATTGTCCTATTTGTTTTATTAGTTTAGTTCAATTCAATTAGGTTTGAATAGTAAGTACAATTTAAACTCGTGTTTAGTAAGCACGCAGACTAAATTATATTCCATGTTTGAACTGAGTTAAACTGTTTAACTTAAAATTTAGCTTCCGCTTAAGTTTAACCATTCAAACTATTTTTAACAGTAAAAGGTGCTCACTCACTCTGTTTTTCACACCTACTAAACATAAATTCAAATTTTATTCCATATTAATATTAAAATTATAACTGCACATCAAAATGTCAATTCAAATTACAATATAAACCACACATTTTAAATTTTATCTTTAGATAAAAAAGTTAAAATCAATAAAATTCGAATCAACGGATCAAATAGGGGCTATATTAGTTAACAATGTATTAATCAAGAATAAAATGGTAAAAATCTTAAAACAATAATTTAAAGGGTAGGTTCACCAATTTTCTCTAATTTTTTTCATCAACTTATTGGGATGATTGCGTTTTTGTTCCCTTTGTTTCTTCTCTTTTGAAAATGTTCCCTCTGTTTTTAAAATTTTACAAAGAATGCTATACATTTTCCAGAAATGTCATAAATGATAGAGAGAAAAACTAAAGGGAGGGAAAGAAAATATACATTACAAAGGAAAGAAAATGTAAGTGAGAGAAATGAAGTTGGTTTTCTTTTATCTTGTTTGATACGTAGAAGGAAAGAAAATTAGTGTCCAATTAAATTACTACTTTGTCAATTATTTGATGTTATTTTAATTTAAAACAAGAACAAAAAAGTAATTTAATTATTTATGCATTACCTAACAGGTTTTTCATAAAAAAATCTATCCACTTTTTGGTGAAATAAAAATTGGTGGGTCCTAGTGTACTCTTTTCCATTTTCTACTCTCTTAAAAAATTCATGCTCTTTTATTTCCTCCCACTTTTCACTTTCGTTAAACATACAACCCGTTTAATTCACTAATTTAAATTGAGATGCAACTTTATGTAAATTATTTACTGTAATAAAAAAATTAAATGTAATTATTTATAAAAGCTTTCTATTATAACAAAATTTAAATTCTAAACTCGAATCGGTGAAATGAACGGAACTATAGTATATTGAATATCATTATTCAAGTTTGAATTATCATAACAATTATTAACCCTATTTACACAACAATCTTTAACCTTAATTAGACAAAAAAAAAAAAGGAAACTATCCAGTTTTCAGTAAAGAAAACTTACCGAAATAATTTAAGAAACTTATTAGAGGTCTAATAAAATATTAAGAATTTAAACATAATATTATTTTCTATATTTATTATATTAATCTTCCTAATAATATATTCTTCTTCTTCGTCAAATCCAATCTCATCCAGGCATTTTTTTTTTTCCTCGATTCTCACAAGTCCAATAAATTGTTTGCTCCTCAAAGTTCTTAACCGATTTAAGCCTGCAAAACCAAATCCTTGCTCCAATTTAGTATAGCCAACTCCAACTGAGCTAGAACAGATTAAAATTGCAGTTGACAAACTAATAGGCATCAGAGAGCCAGATGTCCTGTGTTCCTTCTTCCCAAATTCCCCATCTCCATCTAACTCTTGGCCAATTAGCTCTACATTTCCACATGAATTGGCTAGCAAGACTAGAATCAACTTCACTGTGAATAAGCAATGCCATGCCTGACAAATCGGCGAATCTATCCAAAATACAAGATACGAACGAAAGACTAGTTTCGACTTCATCAAACACCACATGAGCAGTAATCTCTTTCAAGCCATTCATCTTCACTCTGCCTTCAAACCGTTCAACGGAAAGAAAAGCATTCTTTTCCGTACACAATGCTGCCAACCACGCTCCAGCACCCAATTTGAGCGAACTCACATTAGGGAAGTAATCCAACAACGTGTCGAGTCTTAACATTGGAGTAACCAGTTCATTACGTTTTGGTATATCCACCCGAAGCATTTTAACAGCTCTACTTGATCTAAACATCCTCAACAGGCAACAAAGATCCCAAGCTGCAACCTGGAGGCTTATCAAAGAAGGAATATCTTTCATTTTAAACTTATCTGCTTTCTCGACGGTTAGATGGAGAACAGACAAAGATGGAGTTTCGAGGACAAGAGATCTTGGTCTGACACATTCCAGTTTCAGTTCAACGAGGTTTGGAGCCAATATTGTTAAAGAAGTAGGCGCATTTGAGACTATCCAGTGACAAATCTTCAGGTGCATAAAGTCAATCTTTGGTTCTTTAAGTCCTCCAACGCCAATCAAGTTAAGAACTTGCAGACCCGGAAAACAATCGCAAACTTTGTTTAGGTCCTCGTCGTCAAGCCTTATATATTCCAGGGTCAAAGTTGTGAGCTTGGGCATGAGTTTCAAGCCATCCACTGACAGCCATGCATTTTTCACCTCTAGTTCAAGAAGACTATAGCCTGGATGTATATAAAAACAAACGTCAAAACAGTCTCACTCAACAGTAACACAAATATCATAACCAAATCACAAAATTCCTCACTTGCCCACGAAAGCATAACTGCATAAACATATAAATACGATATAGTGAACATTGGCTTAATAAACTATCCTTGGCCCTTAAACAATAGTTACTATGAAGAAATGGGCAAAGGTCAAATATTTAAGATAAGTGAAAGCTATATTTCAAACAAGAGTTCATAAAGTTTGAATAGCATTACATAACAGTCAAGAAAATTACTATTTGTTCCCAAGAGAGTAGTGCCCAGTTTACACTTTCGATGCATCAGTTCACCAATTATCTCAAAATCTTAAGAATTAAGTACTAGTCCAATGAAAAAAATGTGGGACTGTCATGAATTATGAAACAACCATATTGCTCACCAAGTTACCAATCATCCGAGAAGCTTAAGCCGATATGAGATAAACTAACATTAATTTTCATTTCTTATAACATATAAATGAAAATTCCATGGCATTGAAAACTCTGTTCAAAAAAGAAAAAAAAAATGTCCCCCAACATATTAGTAAGAGCAAATCACATGCATTTTTCCGGCCAAGATTTAACTTCCATTCTCAATTTGATCAAATTTGCCACTAAATTAAGAGTCCGGGGACAAATCATCAAAATTAAACGATTAAAAACCAATTTTTTAACGCTAATTACCAAAAAAAAATTCCTGAGAGATCGAGGAAAAACTTACAATACGAAGAAATGAAAGCCAAAGCGTCGGATCGTCGCCAACTGGACTGACTCCAAAAATCGGAGATCGAAAGAGACTTCAGCCCTCCGCCGATCACCGGAAGCCACTCCTCCAAAAACCGGACGTCGGTCAGGTAGAGGTCGTCGCCGTCGTCTTCAACCTCGTCGTACGATTTTCTCCCCAGGGACTTCTCTACGCCGATGGAGATCGTCTCGAGTCCTCTGGAATTGAGGACCAGGTTCTTGAACGCGGACTTGAAGGGCGTCGTTCTAGCCAAGTGATTGTCGTTTCGGGAGCGGTACTTGTGGTAGCGAGACGGCGTGCAGAGGTGGCTCAGGGCCCGGACCTCGTACGACGATGCGTTTAGGGTTTTCGAGACGAGCCGGCAGCGAACCAGGTCGGCGGAGTCGGGGAGTCGGCTCAGGATGTCGATGAGCAGAGACGGTGGGAGTTCCTCCATTGTTGAGACTTTGGGAGGGAGAGGGAGAGAGTACAAATGCTTTTGTTTGGTGGTTGACCTTTGACCAGAATCTTGTCGTGCAGACGAGGAGTGATAGTCCCCCACTCTCGTTAATGGCGCGTGTTCACGCTCTTTAGAAAATAAAAAAAAAAGAAATATTTTGCACAATTTCCCATAAACTTTAATTTCAACAATATGTCTCTTTAATTTATAAAATAATTGTAATGTGTCTCATTTTAACACTTTTATTCTGATGTTTTATCTGACTTGAGGGATTAAAAGCTAGGGAATCAAAGAAAATATATATTACGGTTTGAATTGGTATATAATAAGGATGTATTTAGAGTAAAAATTCGTATTATAATTCAGATTATATGTTTTTTATTATAAAAAATATCTGCACTGTTTTTGCAGGTTGCGGAAAGAATCACCAAAATCTTACGATTTGAAAGGGTAGATGTGTAAAGCAAAAAGAGCACGGCATCAACGTGATAAAATATTCAAACCCAGAAACGGGAAAAAAGCAAAAAGAAGAAATAGAAAAAAAAAAAAAAAAAAAAATTAGAGGACACAGATGCTACGCTATGTTATGCGCAAGACAGGGCTTTTCAGCTTTCAGCATCAAAACTAATCGGCGGTGGCTTGTTCTTCTTCTTCTTCTTCTTCTTCTTCTGCTAAGCAACTGAGAAGAGCAATGGAAAACGACGAGTCGCTAGCGCTTGCCCGCTCGGCAGCGTTCAAAGAATCGGAAAGCCTGGAAGGAAAATGCACGAAAATCGAGGGTTACGATTTCAACCAAGGGCTCAACTACCCTCGCCTGCTTCACTCCCTCCTCACCACCGGCTTCCAAGCCTCCAATCTCGGCGACGCCATTGAAGTCGTCAACCAAATGGTCAGTATTCCTCAGTATTCTTCTTCTCTTTCCTCAATTCTCTTCCTTTTTTTTTTCATTTCATTTCGATTCATTCCTTTTAAAGCTAGATTGGCGGCTCTCCGACGAGCGTATCGCCGAGGATTGCGACGCAAAGGAGAGAGATTTGGAGTACAGAAAGTCCGTCAACTGTAAAGTTTTTCTAGGTTTTACTTCGAATTTGGTCTCTTCTGGTGTCAGAGAGACGATTCGTTATCTTGTTGAGCATCGTATGGTCGATGTTGTTGTAACCACCGCTGGTGGCATTGAGGAAGACCTAATAAAGTGCCTTGCGCCGACTTTTAAAGGCGATTTTTCGCTCCCCGGGGCGTATTTGCGCTCCAAAGGGCTGAATCGGATTGGGAACTTGTTGGTTCCTAATGATAATTATTGCAAGTTTGAGGATTGGATTATTCCCATTTTTGATCAGATGTTGAAGGAGCAAATTGAAGAGGTAATTGCTTACAATGCCTTTTGTTTTGTGTGTGTAATGTTGTTGGTTTGCGTTATGTTATGTTAAAGACAGGGCTATTTGTTGAGCAGAATGTGTTATGGACGCCATCTAAGTTGATAGCTCGCCTGGGGAAGGAGATAAATGACAAGAGTTCTTACCTCTATTGGGCATCTAAGGCAAGTTTTTTTATTTGAGTTTTAGGTTCCGAAGTATACTGGCACTGTTGGTCATAATTGTTATAGATTAGATCCTTTACTAACAAGAGGAATAATATAAAAGAAAGGCTTTGTAGGATTTGGCGGAGGACTCCCGTTTCTAGTTCGGACTCACAAAGTGGGTTCAGGGGATTTCTCAATATAAAATTATAATTAAAATACCTTCCAAACTCTTTGGGCTCGTTTGGTTCAACAACTCAAACTGAAGAGATTTGAATCTTTTTTGTTAGAATTGTAAAATCTGAACTGTGGTAATTCAAACTATAATCCGAACTGTTGTTTCGATATACAAATAAATTATAATTTGAACTGGGAATAAAATCCGAACTGTGTTTGGATAAAGTGTTGAAAACTGTCATTAAAGTTTTGTAACAAATCTTATAAAACCTCATTATAAATGACATTAAAAAATATGCAATATGGGTGTGGATTTGTTCATCTCTTTATTATGAACACATTAAAAAAATCATCTCAATCGAAATTAATACGGAGAAGTTATAACATTTTTAAGATTGAAATTGAAGAGAGAAAAAGTAAAATATGGAACTACTAGACTGTTGACAACAATTTAGATTGTTAGAATTTAGGAGAGGAGGTGAATTCTAAAATCAACAATTTGAGTTGTCCTTGAACCATTATTAATGGTTTGAATTGTTCTTGAATTTTCCTCTCCCAAACACCAGTTTAAATCCTAAACTAAGGTTTGAATTCTAAACAACAGTTTGAGTTGTTGAAACAAACAGGGGCTTTATATTTCTCTCTAATCTGATCCTAAAACCGCCCCCCTAATAAAAGTATTACTAGGACAGGTGAAAATGCATGCTGTAAAAGGTCCAGCGTGCTAATTCTGCGTCGGCTCTACAAAGTGAACAATAATATGCTATAGTGCTGGTAGTTATTGTAGTCTTAGTGGTTGTCTAGTTCCAAACCTTCATTGTATTCTTGGCTTGCTTCTAGGTATTCTTTATCATAGTATTCTTGTCATAACAAAATATTGTTGTGTAGTTGTGTTCCTTTGGAGTCAATTGTTGGGTTTCTTTACTACTTGGTACTCTACTTTGTGGTAGTGTTTTAGCTTTCAAGAATCCTGCTCAAGGTTTTTGCTGCGTAAGTTTATCAGAATATTATGAACACTAATCACGCAGATGATTTGATTATTTTTGTGGATGTTTTCTAGAACAACATTCCAGTCTTTTGTCCTGGTATAACCGATGGCTCCTTGGGGGACATGTTGTATTTCCATTCCTTCCGCAACCCGGGTCTGATTGTTGACCTAGTGCAGGGTTGGTTCTTTGCTTTTTCTTATTGACAAGTTTTTTCTTTCTTTCCCTATGCATGATCATAGTGCGGAAACAAAAAATATTGAAGAGGAAATAAGTGAATGGAAATGTAGTTTGCTCTTTGAACAGATATCAGGGCCATGAATGGTGAAGCTGTCCATGCAAATCCTAGAAAGACCGGAGTTCTTATACTTGGAGGGGGACTTCCCAAACATCATATTTGCAATGCCAATATGATGCGTAATGGTGCAGATTATGCTGTCTACATCAATACTGCCCAAGAGTTTGATGGGAGTGATTCCGGTGCTCACCCTGATGAGGCTGTATCGTGGGGGAAAATACGTGGCTCTGCTAAAACTGTTAAGGTAGCCTATTTAACCCCTTCTATTCTATGTTGATTTGCTATTTCCGTTTTAGCTTTGGTTTTCAATTGCATATGTGTATCTGAACCCAACACAAGTCCCTTTACAATATTTTTATTCTCATATCCAGAATGATTGACTTGTGTCCTTTTCATGTAATTATTCTTATTGTGATTCTAATATACGTGTTTTGTTGTGTTTTAATCATCAGGTGCATTGTGATGCAACGATCGCTTTTCCTCTTCTGGTTGCAGAAACATTTGCCAAGAAATCTACTGTCTGAGTCTCAATAAAGATTTTTGAGAGTGAAGAGTTGATTTAATAATTTATTCTTTGTGCTCGACCCTTAATGAAGTAATCTCCATTGTTAACTGTAGAATTTCCAGGCAACGTGATTGGAACAAATCTGTGGCTGACAGTATCAGACAAAGCAGGAGATGAGAGTGAAGATTTTTGAGAGTCTCAATAAAGATTTTTGAGAGTGAAGATGATATGCTGTTGTCACTCGGAACCGAACAAAAAACTGAAAAAGTAGTCGTCAAAATGGATTAGCTGGGGAGGCCATTTTTGTCTTAGGTTAGATTACAGAAATACAGATATCTGATTTTTTGAATGGCACAAGCACAACGTTTCTAAAGCATTTTCTATTATTTTCCATTATGATTGATGTTTAGTGCTCAAACATATCTCATCATATAGTGGCCAATGGAGGGCTTTTTTTTTGGGTGCTGATGTGTGGCCAATACGGTGCTTGCTCTCACCTGGTGCTGTTTGGTATTGTTTTCATTCGTTTTGAAAACGTTTCTGCATGTTTTTAAAAACAAACTAAACACGACGCATTTTATATCTAAAACAATCTCTAAGAAAAATAACCAAATGTTATTTCAGAAACAGTTTCAACACCATTCTTAAAAAATTTTCATTTTTAATTTCTTACTCAAAACAAAAATCATTTTAAAAACACTACCAAATGGGAAGAAAAGCAGTCATCTTGGCAAATTATCTTTTGTGTGCAACACCACCGCCAAGGAGAATGCCTTAATTAAAGCATGTAGATGGTGCTGGTCCATTGGTATCGAAAGCTGAAGCAGCTAATCCGCAAGTTAATTGCAGGCTAATAGAATATATTGTGGAAATGGGAGATCCTGTGTCTGAAATTATAATTAAGAACCTTTCTCTTTTTATTGTGTTTCAAGTTCAACCATCAAGATTATTTTGTGAGATTTGGACTTTGCGGATCAGCTGCAACTAGTTTGTTGAGCTTAACCGTTAGCTCTCTGCCCTTTTCAAAGTGCTCCAAAGCTATCTCCTCATCCGTTGCAAGTTTTCCAAACCAGAGTGTGTTGTAACTATGCCACCCAACTTCAACAGTTTCTTTAGCCTCTCATGGTAATTCCAAACATTGACCTTGTCAGCGTTGACAAAAGTGAAGTCGAAACTGTTAGGACCACGGGCTCCACCATAAGAGATTGGGGTTCCAACTCAAAAGGTTACCTAGTGAGTGGAATAGCCCACTCCCTTATAAACCCATTATAGCTCCCATTTGTTGCTAATGTGGGACATTGTTCACACCTCTAATAGAAACCACCCGGCATTCTAGATCCGCAATTCAACACCAAAAAAGAAATGAGTCCACAATTGACACATTGTGCACGAATTAAAGGAGTTTTCGTTTTGTCAATTCTTACATTTTTATTATTATTATTATTATTATTATTTTTATTTTTATTTTTTGTGATAAGCAGAGACAGAGAGAGTTGCCTAAGAAAAGGATTAACATGACAACAACTGCATTGAATAGAAGTAACCTCCTTTGAGCTCCTTGAGAAGTTCAGCTTCACGCGGATACACACTAATCTCCAACACATACTCTCATGAAATTAGAGAACGACATTGAATTTGAATGTACATGGTATACAAAAAAGGAAAAAAGAAAAGTTGAAAGAAAAACCAATTCAAAAATGATCATGTAATCCTGCTTTTGCTGGATAACTAGCACGCGGCAAGATCCGAGATTCCTTTCCATACAAGAAAAAGAAAAGAAAAACAACAAGAAACCATACAAGACCAATGGTTTTCAACTTCATAATAGTTCATGCATAACAAAACATTTGTTCAACACATTCATCCATGAAAAGGAAAAACCACATAAACATCTTTGATTAAAAGCACATCATGATCAGAAAATGCGCCTGCAAATGGTGATCCATCGCCCATTGAAAGGAGAAAGATTTCAACTCAAGGATCGGCCTCGAGAGACTAGACTTGTTGAACTTGATGGCATCAAGCCTTGCACGATGATCATAGAGAACTAGACTTGTCTAACCTCATCATCCTCTCATGATCACAGTGAGGATGAGTAAAAATTGTTCTTTACTACGTACGATTGATTATTTATTATCTTAAAATTTTTAACGCGATCTATAATATATTCCAACCCCTTTTGTTCATTCATGCCTTGTAAAACAATTTTTACTAGATGATAAGAACATCCATTTGCATGCTTATGTCGTTGGCAAAATTAATCGCTTCTAATCCAAGAGAATGTTAGATTAGACATGCTACATTTTACACCAAACATGTCTTCTATTATGATAGTACAATCCAATACAATGCAACGAAACACATCTAATATCAAAATATGTTGTGCTAAAACAGCCACGGGAAATGTAATACACACTGAAACATAGACATAAAAAACAGAGAACATAAACACTGAAGCAGGGCGGTAAACGCAATGCCAGTCCATTACCCCTTAGATCGAAAGGTTGAAGCAACAAATTAAGTTCAACTATCTTTTAGAAACCAGCAGCATACATGACAAGTCCTATTTTAACATTATAAATTGAATGTTGAAGAAAATTCCCAACTCATCACTCTGAAACAGAAAGCTCCCCAGTCTCCAATTCATGAAATGTTGTCTTCACTTGAAGGGAATTTATATTTCTCTATGAGATGCTAAAGCTCCTGATAATGATGGTAATTAGTAGTCAATCATCACCAGCTATCAAAAAAGCAATGAAATACGTAATTAAGCAAAAGAACAAATGATATACAAAGTTTAACTTTTTCTAAAACTTTTAGAGAGAGAGTATACCAATTAGCTTTTGATCATACTTAGTAGTTTGGCCTTGTGCGTTGCTACAGTTATGTAGAGCGAATCTCCGGCGTTGTTCAACAACTTCAAGTATCTGTATCTCCAAGATTTGTTGATGATAAATGTCAAACAGAACCCCCAAAATCCAACTATAAATCCAACTGCTATGCTTATGTAACATCCTTCGGTTATAAACTCATCTTGTTCGTCGTCGATGACATCATCTTCTATAGCTTTAGAAATTGCTGGTTCTTCTTCACCTGGACATTTCTTTGAAAGTGGGGCTCCACAAAGCTCAGGATTTCCCAAATATGCAGCTGGATCACGTGATTGGAGTTGAGTGCCTGATGGAATTTTTCCTGACAAATTGTTGCTCGACAAGTCCAGTGTATTGAGACGGTCTACTTGGGAGAGACTTGAAGGAATTCTGCCGAAAAGGTGATTCTTTGATAAATCAAGAGCATCTAAAGATTTCAACTCGCCGATCTCTTGTGGGATTTGTCCACTCAAATTGTTTCTTGACAAGTTCAATGAAACGAGGCCAATAAGTCGAGTGATTTCTTTTGGAATGTCTCCTGACAGCTTGTTACTTGACAAGTCAATGTTCTTTAGAAGTCCCAAATTTTTGAACTCACGTACTACTCCTTTCCATACCAAGAACAACCTTTCGTTGTAGAAATCTGACGGAATGCCATCCCAACCGCGACTGTATTGTTGATAGGGCTCTCTAATTGCTGAATCTGTTCCCCCAGTTGCTCTCAATGCTGTAATGTTACCGAGGCAATTTGGAATACTGCTTGAAAGCTTGTTTGAAGACAAGTCCAGCAGTTGAAGGTGTACTAAATGACACAGTTCTGAGGGCATACTCCCATTGAAGTTATTTGATCGTAGACTAAGAATAACAAGCTTTGTGAGACTATTCCCTATCCATGTCGGTGTTTGCCCCGACAATTTATTTTCTCCTACATCGAAAATCACCAACTCTGTACAATTTTGTAACGAGGAAGGCAATTCTGCAGTAAAACTGTTCTTCCCCAAATGCAATATCTCTATACCAGTTAATAGACCAATGGAGGTAGGAATTTTCCCTGATAACTTATTACTTCCCAAGACAAGAACTTGCAAAGGGCCTGCTTGTGACCAACAATCAGGAAGCTCCCCGGACAATTGATTATAAGAAACATCAAGAAAGACCAGCTCCAACCCATATGGTGTACAATTACATAAGGAGTTTATGTCTGAAAATTTGTTGTTGAACAGATTTAGTGATTTCACTTGGAGTAGAAAAGGTGGTATCGGGCCTTCCAAATGATTTGAACTCAAATCAATACTATCTAGGGGTGAAAAAAGGGGCCCTTGATAATCTTGAATCTTTCCTTTAAATTCATTATCAGAGAGATCGAGAGTTCTTAAGGAAATAAGATGGTTCCACAAAGTATACGGAATAGAATCTGAAATTCCGGAGTTGGAGATATTAAGTGTGGACATCGAATTCTGAGTTAGGAGCCATTTTGGGAAGTAAGGACCCAACTTGCATCCCCCAAGTTCTACAATTGCCAATTGAAAGGGAGGAATCCAATCAGAAGAGACGTCGAAAACGATATGTGAGTTAGAAGATAAATCCAAATGAGATAGGTTGAACAGCTTCAAAAAATGAACTTCAGTCATCACATCTGCCATAGAGTTATCAGAAATATGCAAAACCTCCAACTTCGATAACTGACCAAGACTTTTGGAGAGATTTCCATTTAGCTGATTTGAGTTGAGCCTAAATTCTTTCAAAGATTGATACAGTGTAAAATTAGGCAATGATCCCACAATTCTATTCATTCCTAAATCCAAAATCTCCAAAGGGAAATGGACACAGCCGCGGGATGTTGATTCAGCAAAGTGGAGTTCTCCACTGAGACTGTTGTTGTATGCATGGAATTCTTGTAGTGCACATATTTTCCAAATGGATTTTGGAATTTCACCAGAAAGCATATTATTGCTGAGATCAAGGTATTGAAGAAAATTCATGGTTCCAAAACCTTCTGGAATGGATCCTTCTAGCTGGTTTCCGCTGAGATCAAGTTGTACAAGGGCAGTGATATTCCCAAAAGATTTTGGAATGGGACCTCCTAATCGATTGCTTCTAGGATCATAACCGATTTCGCCGCCTCTAAGATCAAGATGTGTAAGGGCAGTCATTTTTCCAAAAGAGATTGGAATAGAACCTTCTAAGTCATTTCCAGCAAGATAAAGGGATTCAAGAGCAGCTAGATTCCCAAAAGCCTCCGGAAGGTATGTTTTCGACAGGCAATGAAAGAGGTTAAGATGAACAAGGCTACGACTATAGTTGAACAACCATTGAAATACAGAAGCAGAGAGTAGGTTTTCAGAAAGATCAAGGACTGCGAGAAACTTTGAAGAATTAACAAGGGAAAGA